CAAGTTAGTCGTCGGGCATTTCAACTACAGAGCAGAACGCCGGTCGATATAACCATCATAGGGACCCCCAATAGGCCGACAAATTGGTAAATAGGTCCAGTGCTACAATGCAGTATGCTAACGTGAATCCAGCTCGTTTACAATCTGGAGCAAGTGGAATGAGGACGCCACTTCTTGCGAGTTCATCAATTTGCAGTTTCAGCAACCGAAGGAGTCTGCTAATGAAAAGTCTGTATGATATTGACGTTGAGTACGACAGTCTTTGACTAACTTTTAGAGCACAGCAAGCGAGTTAAATGCTCATTTCTAGTTTCAACCTGTTTGAATTTGGGTAATAACCTTAAAATCTAAAAAGAAAAAAATCAACCTGTTTAAAAACTTTTAAACAAATTGAGATTCTCATTGCTTTCGTGCATGTTTGCTGAGTACAAATCAAAACCAAATCTGTCATCAAAGTGACTCGACAAAAACAAAGTTTACCAATAAATTTAAAATAAGCAGATCAAACGCTGAAAGCAAAAGTGCACAAATGGCACGAAATGAAATGAAAGTGATAAAAATCAGTGCAAAATAAATGTTGACAACGACAGCTGAGTGATTGGTATTAAAGAGTTGTCGAAGAGCGCAAAAAATAGAGCGATTGATGTCACAGCTTTATTACGGAACCCAGGAACACATAAACTTCGAAGGCAACAAAGTGCAGCTACACACAAGCTGTGCCACAAACACACACGCTTCACTTTTTCACTTCACCCTCAACACGCCCGCACACCTGTTTAGTGCAATACATCACTTACGAAGTTTCGGCACAAGGCGTTTCGAGTTTTTTCCACTCTTTGTTTTCAGCGTTCCAAGAACCTCACCTCGAACGCCACTCGTTCATGTCGTGTCGTGTTGTTGTGGCAGGTGTGTGTGTGTGACATTTCGTCAGCGGCAAATGAAGCGGTAAACCGACGCGTAACGTGCACGCTTCGGCAAACGAATCGAATGTCTGGTTTTGTGTGTTGCATACAAATTAATTTTCTTGAGTTACCTTGGCGTGCGGACGTGCGGGGTGGAGCGCGCAGTAAAATGGAGCGAACGTTAGGGAAAATGCGCAGTCAACCACAACTATGCATTGGGCTTACGCATATATTGTTTGTGGGATTGAGGAGCTTATGTTATTTGTTTTTGTTTCTCCATCGGGCGATCGTTATTGCTGTTGTGTTTCAAGAATTTTGTGCTGAAGAAATGTTCATTTTAGGTGAAAGGATTTTCGATTTTAAATGAAATGTTTAAGGATAAGATCTTTTAGCCCGCAGGGCATAGGGGCCACATGCAATTGTTTTGATTTTATTTGTTTGTCTAAATCTCGGAATTTGCGAGTTAATTGATTTTTGGGTTTAAGAAAGTTGGGCAGGTGTGTGTATGAAGTAATTGGTAGCTTCGAGCGATTATAGCACTGGAAGATGATAGAACTTCTTCACCCTTCTTCATTAAAGCGGTGCTAAATTCCTTATTCCTCGCTCTACATCAATTTTTAAAACTCATTTTTCAAAAATGGAAAAATAGATGGAGAACTTTACAAAAAATTTTATAAAAGTTTTTAAAAATTATAAAAGTTTTTAAAATATTTTCTCGGATAATATTTTTCCAAACTTTTATTTCTGAATATAGTGTACTGAATCAAGTACTTTTACCACCAAGCTATCACTATTTTATGACTAATCACTATTTCATGATTTTGGCTGCTGCTATTCACAATTTTTTATATATATCATTTGAATTAARGGTGTTTRTCTTCGCTAAATTATCGATTTTTCTTTTGTAGTTAAAGACGATACGAAGACGTTGACGATGATAGACGATACGATCAAACATTGAAAAAAAAATTGTTTTCGGCTTTTTCATGACCTTAGTTACTATTATGAGTTATCGCTAGATTTGTGGGTTCTTGTCTTCGCTAAAATACGAGTTTCACTTTTATAGTTGAAGACAATACGACCAAAAATTTGATTTAAAAAATATTTTCGGCTACTTTATGACTCTGACTGCTGTTATTAGCTACGGTATAATTTAAAGGTGTTTGTCTTCGCTAAAATACCAGTTTTATTTGAATAGCTGAATAAAGGAAAAATTAAAAATTTTATAAAAAAATATTTTTCGACTATTGCATGATTCTAGCTGCTGGAATGAGTTATCGTACAACTTGAAGGGTTTTTTCTTGGCTAAAATACTAATATTACTTTTAGAGTTGAAGAAAGGAAATAGACGATGCGAACAAAAATTGAAAAATTATGTAAAACATATTTTTCGGATTTTTTTTCTGATCATACTTATTACATTAATTCCTTAAGATATTTTATTAAAAACTTTTATAACTATTTCATGTCTCTAATATCTCTTATAATATGTTTCGGTGTGTGTCTTCGCTAAAATTTCACTTTTTTTCAAAAATATTGCCTACAAATAGGAGCATAACTTTTTCTAAGTCATAGTCAATATTGTTAAAAAAATAGTAATACAAAATATTGGCTATAAATGTACTAATTTTGCATTAAATTGAATTCAGAAAAGTTATGCACCATTTTGTTCGATGAATTGTTACCATTTTTAATAAATTTCATAATGTTACTCCCATAGAAATTACGTGCATATTGATAAAACACTAAAACAAACGAGTTTCACAAATATCTCTTCTTGAAGCGAATTTTTCAGCAGCAAAACCATTTGCCATAGACAAGAAAAGCGAGTGGTAATTTGTTGCCAGTTCCCGTTTATAAGGTCAAGGTTCCCAACTAAGTTCTCGGGGCTTTCGGGCGTATCACTATCGAAATGCTTGGCTTGGCGTCATACTAATGGTACACAATTACACTAAAAAGTTTAATGCTCACCGTTTCTGGGCCATTGTCAACATTTAGACGAAAAAGTTGTTGAGGTTCGAACTAATCACAAACAAGTGTCAGACCCTTCTGACCGTCAATGCCGTCGTGCCTCTTTCGCGCCGGCTCAACGGGACTACGATCGTTTTCGCTTRTCGTAAGTGASCCACTTTWCATYWCSTCAAAYCAATCCGCTCTATAAATTACWCGATTTTACTTTGATWTCGTAGCGATTCGCAGATTCGGTYCATGACAAGTTCTGACATATAARGTGAGTGGGGCAGCCGCTGTTTACCAAAWAATTTTTAACCGCTCTTTCAATRTGAGGCCTAGTGTTGYCTCGACGGAAAAYTATTCCTCGTGTTTAGTCGTAAGTKCCGAAAGCTTTTCGCCAATCGCTAGCTTCAATTCAATAATGATATCTCACCGTATTAGAGGCTCATAGCAAAGCACGTCCCACTGATTCCACTAAATATGGAGTCGAAAATTTACGTCATGAATATTCCTTTTGCCGTTAATTTAATTGGTTGGTCAGGTTTATATATTATCCGTATTTTGTTTACGAGTTGTACTAATGAATCTTTTTTTTCATCACGCAAACCGATTTCTTTAACTTAGGTTTTCATATTAAAGTTGTAAAAACGGAATAAAAAACCACCCACAAAAATACTTTTTCGGGCACAAACTTCGAGAAATTCGCTGTTTTTTACGCTTTAAAGGGATGATATTAGATGAAGCACACAGGCAGAAACTTTTCAAAACAAATTCAGAATATTGGGGCAATGGCATAATGCTCAAGCATCATAACAAAAATATCTGGGCAAACGGCACGAATATAGCTATAGACCCAATATTAGTCTCAATATGAGACAAAATACTTCAGATAATGTATAAATTGAATGACATCTTCTCACAGTTTTGACACCATAAAGTTCAAATACGTTAAATTTTGAGTGCTAATTGAAAAAGGTAGTGTAATATTTTCTTCATTTTGTAAAAATGAAAATTATTTCAAAATATACACATTTCGAGTTCAAAAATATTGATATTTGTAATCGACTTTATCGGTAATTGCATTACCCATTTTAAGCAGACCGCTCACTTATAATTGTAAAAGAATTATTTTACATCGAAACTAGAATATTCTCGAATCACTTAACTTAACTTATGTTAGTAAAATTGTTTTAAAGTTGATTAAATTTATAGCAGGCCACTTGTGCTTCAATTCAATTGCCGCCTACTAAGTTTATTAGGTAAAACTCATAATATAAGCAAAGCGGTAAACATACAAGTATATGTATATATATCCATATATGATAGAAAAGATATATAATATAATTTTTTTCACTATTATTTAGCCGACCATTGAAGCGAAAGAACGTTTTGTGGAAAAYTATTTTAATTTAATTGYATGTTGCGTATACGCCATGGATTACCGAAGCACTGGCTATGCGCAACAGTGCATTAAAAAAGAACAAACACAAAAACTGGCACAACAACAAGAAAAAAGTATGATACAACAACAACAAACAACAAAACCGTGTACAATAACAAAAACAAAATCTCACACAAAAACAGAAAAAGCGACACAACAACAAAAACAAAAACAAACCGATTTACAATAACAAAAGCAAAGCCTTCGCACAAAAACAAAAACAGTGCTAAAGAGACTGCAAGCACAAACACTTGAAAACATTGTTTGCCACACAATTCATGCAACCAGTGTTGCGCAATAGCATATACACTTACTTAGCACAGCGGCAGGCAAGCGTTGCGTGCTACACAATAAAAACCAAAAAAAGAAAAAAACAACAAAATGGCAACGCAATAACTTTCAAAGAGCGCTGGAAAAACTTTGCGCCTCGACCAAAAGTTTTAGCTTACAACAACAAAACTTTCCAACAACAAAATAGTCCAAGCAAATATAGCTATTGGCGAGTTTATATGCATAACGGCAGTTATTGGCGGGGGCTACTAAATAGATGTAGCACTTTAAGCAATAAGGAAATCAACTTTAGAGTTTTCCCTGAACTTGTAATCTCGTTTCAGCTATTTTCTCGCAAATTTCCCTACTTACTTTGCTGCTTGCCACAAAGCATATTTCATACATACTCACAACTGTTCTTCTCACACCTGCAGGTACGACGACGCGCACAAGCACAGGCCCAACAGCAGCAGCAACAGCAATATAATCTGGAAAATGCACGTTCTTACTGCACGAGCGAGCCGCGTCTCAGCGAAACGGAAACGCCGCCGCAAAGACGCAAATTATCGCAACGAAGACCACAACAGCATGGTAAGTGCGCGCCACAACAGCCCTTCTTGAACAGGTGTACCATATATGTATGTCGAGGCAAGTGTGTGTTTATGGTTGTATGTGTGTGTGTGTGTGTGTGTTTGCAGGTCGCATGTCGGCGGCTGGAATTTACTTGGATTAGCTGGCATTAGCGCTGCGTTAATGCCACAAAGTGTTTTAATAAACAAATAGAAATGCCAGGTTTTTCATACGCTGTGTGCGTAAACATCCGGCAAACTAATTTTCATAGCTACTAAAGTGCGAAAATTACTTTCAGTCATTAAGGTTAATAGCAACTTTGGGCAAAGCAACTGAAATGTTTAGCGAGTAAGGCAACTGTAAGCAAAAACTGGAAGCAGTATTTCTGTAGAACTTCTCTCTTTTGAACTTGGAAATTTTGTAATAAAAATTCCGATTAATTTGCATTTACTTTATAAGAAAATATTAAGTAGAGATCTAGTTGAGTCACTTTCGTTATTTGTGAGGCTAATAAAGCCAAATTAGTTTAAAAATCGAATTTTTAAAATTATTTATTTTGAAATAATTAAATAATAATGCACTTGAAATTGAAAAAAAAAAATTGCAAATTTCATTTTTTAAAATATATTGGCTCTAAATCATGTGTTCGATATAAAAATTAGTTTCTCTTACTTACTTTAAAGCGTGCCGCTAGTGGGAGCTGAGCTCGACTATGTTTTTATATTTTTGACTGATTTCTTACTCCATAAAARCGACTTAAGCGAAATAGCTTAGTGAGCAAATTGCAATATCTCTTCAGGTGGCACSGAGGCTCTGAAAACAATAAAAATATATTTATGTATCATACAATAAGTAGTACTTCYTGCCGAWGATATTAACTTTCAAAATAAAMCWYCAAATATCCAACATCAATATAAGTRCTTATGAACCAAAAGTAGTAAGACCTTGTTCATAAAAGTATTTTTAAGATTCTTCATTTATTCTTTAAAATCTATGTCGTGCACCTCAAACTGATTCCTCTTGGCTTCAATACACTTACGCCAACGTTTTTTCAATTTAATCATGGGGGAGACATTAAATTTAGTTCAAGAGAGTTTTCTGTAGTAATTAACAGTTGATTTTTCTAGCGTTTGAGGTCCCTAGTATACCATGGCAGCTTATATAGCTGTATATCTTTAACCGGGATATTATAACGACGAAATTCTTGAATAGTTTTCTTAAAAATGGAAAAACTATTAGCAGTATCAGTAAGTCATTCCATTAAAACTCAACGAGCAAATGTTTGAGTCTTGTAAAATCACAAAATCTAAAACTAAAACCAAGTTCGTCAATTGGTTTGACAGGAGCGAAAAGATAAGCATCAATATTAAACGGTAACGGAGAATGATGAATGGTAGCTGGAGTGATGGCAGAGAATCCATCAATCAACCTAAAGTTTAAATTATCGCTGAGAAAGACTAAGTCAAGAAATCGATCAAAACTATTCGCAGCTGAGTTAATTTGATTAATAAAATTGAGAATAAGCAGGCTATAAATGAGAAATAACTCACGAGAAGCCGAAGAATTGGAGGGAATATGGGCAGCGCTTTAGGAAAGTCGGACCAGACAATATTGCTTAGATTGAAGTCACCCATAACACAAAAATGTTATTGTGTTATACCTTACTTAAAATCAGTGAGGAAATATTATTTCCATACATCTTATACAAATCTAGAGCACAATTAGCAGGGATGTATGAAATACAAATAGATAGTTAGTCAGGAATTAAAATATTATTATCAAGCATTATTAAATGAGGACGAAATTTGCGATGAACTGCTAAAAGAACACCACCACCTGTAACGTAGCAAGTTTTTTCGTGATCTCTATCCTTCCATCCTTACAGAAGACATAATGGAAATTATAGTGGAAATTATCACTATAATAGTAACTATAATTAAGCCAACAAGGTTTCAAAAATAATGATAATATCAAAATCCAATTGTGGAGARAAATTGCAAATAATATTTTATGTATTTTTTGTTGATCATTAGTTGATGTTGATGGCCATCCTGTACGTGATTCGTCGTTAACTATAAATAATATAATTTTTTTTTTACTGGAAAGTATAATAAAAAGATTAAATTTTTGCTCCGTTTTTTTGGAAAAATGTAATTGAAGCTTTTCTTGAAACATGCAKTTATCGGAATATGCCTAAAAAGCAATGTCACAAGATAAAGGTTTTTCTTCAAKTTTCGAATGATGCACGACTTTCAGAAATGTCTTATTATAGTACACAAGTGTTCATACCACAACCTTGAATCAATAACTTCAAACTTAGTAAACCGTCACCCTTGAGCACAAAGTCATGATAAATAAATTAACAGCTGAATCCCAACGAAAGCAAAGCAGCATTACAACTTACTTTTGTAGTTGACACAAAATCCCAGAAAGTTAATATTTAAGCATATTCATTCGCAGCTCCTCGTACTTCTTTGCAAGTAGGCTTCAATTGCGCTGCTATTTAGCAAGCAACTAACCTCATTTTCCCTGCACTTACTTTTGAAGTTAATTGCAAAACTTTCAATCCTTAATTAACTGCAACATTTCACTTACATATTAACGGCTGAGTTTCAAGCAGAACAACACGAAGTTGTAAGGCGGCCGTTACTTTCCAACGGTAATAACGAAATTCAGAGCAAACTAGCGGGTTAAAAGCGCGTCGCTTTGTGCCTCATTAGTTAAGTAGCTTTAAAAAATGGCAAAAAAGATACTTGCAACAATACGCGTTCATTATTAGAAATTCCAAAAGCAAAAATTTAAATTTAGCAGCGCCAAGGAAACCTTGAAAAAGCGCGCCTTTTAAGTCTGGCGCGCTTGTCTACTTCCACGCTCTCGTTTGCTCATTTACAATTTGACTAATTAAATATTAATTAACGCAAATATCGAACACTTTAATCGAAAACGAAAAAGGAACTCCACTTACAGCAGCAAACACTAAAATACTTCCTTTCAGCTAAATGTTACGTATACGCCGTGCAGCTCCACAAGCGATTGAGCGACAAGCTCAAATTGAGTACGAGAGCTCTGTTGTAAAGTTTAAGTTGCAATTTRTTTTACAAAACACTGCAACAAAAATGCACTCAAAAGCACGTAACTGCACTTTTACTATCGCCTTTAAAGCTTATCGCTTACAAGTCATTGGCGTCAAGTTGCAACGCGCGCCACTTTATCTTCTCATTTCAAAGCGCGTTTAGTAAAATTTTTATTTGCCAACGCAGCATTAAATTTTCCGGCAACTGCCTTAACGCGGAGTCAGCGTATCCTCATGCTTGTAATTTGCTGTTAAATTATACGCTTGCAAACAGTGTTGTATCAACAAGTCACTCGAGATTATGACATTCGCTGTCGATATGCCAAAACAACTTAAGCATTTGCCGTAAAGGGGACGGGTGAGGTGGAAAGTCTGGCGCCAAGATGCCAATYTATGTTGAGCGCAGCATGTGCTTGCTCGCAACAATCTTCATTAGTGGTTTTTTTTTTATATTAAAAGACAGCGGTGCACAGTGAGTCGTAAGTGACTGGAGATCAAACTAATATTATAAATATATTATTTTAGAAAGAAAGTGCAAGGAGAAACACTCTCACTCGATTTGATTATTAGGATAACTCACATATTTACCAATATGTATGGTATAAAGTCAGCCGCAAGTTCTAAAAACTTTTTTTTTAGGTACATATATGTGGTCTAAGAGAGGAATTGACCCGAWTCCACCCATTTTTGATATTCAGACATATCGCTGTCAGGAAAAAACTATCTCCAGATTTCAAAAATGCATCTCAACTGATATATGCGGTAAAAAATTCAGCCATAGAGACTGTGGCCGACATTTTCGGTATTTTGRGGTTTTAAACAGTTACAGTCCAATTTTGACAATTTTCAGACTTATCTTAAAAACAATATGYGTGGGTAGTCGAAAAAATCTTTTCGTATTTCTAATCAAAATTCAACTTATTATTATTTTTATTTATAATGAACTTAATGAATCAAAAATGTACCGTTTTGGTCGACCACTTTATGCCATTTTTCCGCAAGCGACATTATTGTATCAGTGTAAAACTTTTCTGGTTTCTCGRCGAAACACTGCGACAAGTAATATTCACAGGCTTCTCTTGAAGCCAACTTTATGCCATTAAGGGAGTTCTGCACTGATCGAAACAAATGGTAGTCCGCTGATGTAAGGTCATATGTGGTGGATGCTTCAAAACGTTCCAGCCAATCTCTCCCCCATTTTGCCGAGTCATCAAAGATGTGTGTGGTTTAGCGTCCTCCTATTGGAAGACGAAGCCTGTCAAAAAATCAATCACTCGACCAGGCTGGAGCAGCTTATAGTACATAATTCCTTTCCAATCCCACTAAACACTCAGCAAAACTTTTCGAAGCGTCAATCTTGGCTTTGCGACCATTTACTGAGCTTCACCACGCTTGGACCATGAACTTTTTCGCACATTATTGTCGTATTTGAGAGACTTTTTTTCGCCTGTTACCATTTGCTTCAGAAATGGTTCGATTTCATTTCGTTTCAGCAAAGAATCGCAGATGTTAATTCGGTACATTAAATTTATCACAGACAATTCAAATGGTACCCAAAAATCGAGCTTCTTTCTGTAGCCAGCCTTTTTTAACTGGTTCAAAACCGTTTGATAATGAATATTAAGCTCCTTAGCGATGTCATGGCTGCTTATGTTACGGTCCTGGTCAATCCTTTCCATAATTGCATCGACTTTTTCAACGAAAGGCCGACCAGAAGGAGGTACACCTTTCACATCGAAATTTCCAGAACGAAACGAGCGAACCATTGTTGTGCTACATGAACTGATTCAGCATCGTCTCCGTAAACTGCAAAAATTTCATTGGTGGCTTGTGTGGCATTCTTATCTTTTTTTACGGCTGCAACTTTTTTCAATTGAATAATTTCTTGGTTAAATTAAGTTTAAAATTTATTTCATCTTTCCAACACTATATGGTATGACACAATGTC